GACAGATTCAAGGAGCTTAGAAGACTTATGAATGTTGTTTGCTTGTAACTTTTGAATTATGAGGGAGTGTTAGTAATAATTCAAAAGTTTGTTAGTCAGTTTGTTAATCAGATCAGTTAGTCAGTTAGTATCTCTATTACATATACTTGTATCCTTTCTACAGTTTTTTGCTTCATACGGAATAATATAGAACTCCCTTCTCCATCTTGTTATTCATTCATCTTACTAATTCTCTGTAATTAGTCATCTTCCCCAACAAGTACAACAGCACCCTCACCTGAATGTTGCTCACAACTTCGGACATGGGGAAGTTTTTGCTACTATAGATGGGTAGGCTACGACAATGCCATTGACTATATGGTTTTTGGAATTTCTGATGAGGTTTTAAGTAACACTTATGACATGTGGGTTGCATGCCGATAATAAATACTACTATTATGTATTTAAATACTATTAGTTGTCTGATGTATTATTATATATATGAATAATTAAAATTTGATTAAGTGCCACATTCATATAAAGTTCGATGGTCCAGAGCTCGTATTACGTTCAACTATAGATAGGTCTTATAATAGCAACAAGGAAAATTCTATTGTACATTTATTAAATTGTAATGTACGGGTGCCTACACTTTTTAACCAATAAGATAGGAGCATTCTGCCACGATCCATCCCCAACGTATTCGTACAATAGTTTTTTAATTGCACTACTTTTGAGAGTAGGCATTCTCCGGCTCAGTTGGAAAATGATTAAAACCCCGGGATCGGATATCCGACTAAAGATCTAAAGTTCATGCTTCATCAACAGTTCTATCCTCACGAGCTCATTATCAATTTCTCTTTTTTTTTTAAGAAAACACAACTATTAATTGACAAGTTCAACTTTCATAATGATAGAAGCAGAAATATTCATTCAGTTTTCCGAACAGAAAGCACAGGTCTTAGAAAGAAATCAAACAAGGAATTAAAAACATGAAGAACAATGCATCCACCAATACGCCGCATTATGATATTGTCCGATGCGAGGATAGTTGATCACTTTTTGCCACTTTTCTTCAGTCCTGCGCCTCCAAATGTCCCCGAGGCCTGAGCTTTTTTCTTAAGTTCCTTAAGTGCCTTTTCTTCTTCCTTCTTTTTCTGAAGGCAAATCTCGTCTAACTCTGGCTTTTCAGACTTCGGTTTCTTCAAAGGCTTTGTCTTTCCACCTTGCTTGGAGGACATGGTTGCTGATCTGATTGAGTGTTGAGAGAGAACAAGGGCACCCTTGTCTATTTCTCATTATCAATTTCTCATATCACAACTTCTCATCGCTCTCTTTCTTCATAAATCATCTGACTCCAAACACACCTTCATTGTGATCTCAGTTCAATCATAGTTCCATCGACATCTTACATATCTCCTTCAGTACAGAGTTAGATATGAAACTCCTTCATCGGAGTCACCTGCTTTCGGAAGTCTCGCTTCAGACACCTTTATAGTATGAGTTCTATTGTTGGTACTTTCATTCCTTCCTATTTTCGGGCCCCGGTTTCTGATTGTCATTTCAGATGAACTTGTTGTTTAGCATTTCCATATACATTCTTTTGTTGCACTTATTGTTTCCAATTGAGAATACAGAATTGTTTGGCACTGAGAGACAAGGCGGTTCATTTCTATCTTATTCTCAACTCATATCACCGAGAGACAAGGCGGATTATATTTGTGGACATAAAACGTGTTTTAGATGGTGACCCATGGTTGTTTGAAAGAAATATGTTGATCCTAAAAGAGGTGAAGCCGAAGGACATTCTTCTTAAAATCAGCTTCAATTAGGCTTAATTTTGTGTACAAGTTCATAATGTTCTTTATAGTTTCATGAACCTTGGCACTGCTAGAAGAATTCGTAACATTATTGGTAAATTTATTAGCTATGATGAAAACCAATTTGACGAAAAATGGGAAGTTTATTTACGTGGCAGGGTCTATATGGATGTGGAAAAACCTTTGGAAAAGGTACAACTCTCAAAAAGGAGGGGTTGGCCACTTGGTGGAATTTAAGTATGAAAAGATACCCAATTTTTGCTTTATTTGTGGTATTATTGGTCATTCCAATAAATTTTGTCCGTTGACACATCATGATAACCTGGTACTGCAAAAAAAAATGGGGTGCATCTTAGAGCTGGTGGTGAGGTAAAGATTAGTCCTACATGAGGTAATAAGTGGCTGGTAGATGAGTCTTCTAGCTCAGGTCGGGGACCGCATCTCAAAGAGGACATCAAGTTGGATGGTAGAGTGGGAGGAGATTGGAAGGAATCCATGTCAGGCACAAATAATAGCACGACAAAAGATGGGGAATTTGGAAGTACTGAGGAAGTTTCAGGGGAATAAAAAAGAAGGAGAATCTGGGAAGCTCGGGAAATAGAGAACCCAGTTGGGGATAACATGATGTCGGACAAGCCAAAAAATGGGGAGGAGGTGGATTTTGATTGTTAGGCCCGCCAAAACTTTGGAGACTAAGTGGTGATTTGGGAATGTGGATGATGGCGGTGCTCTAGAAGATGGAACAAGATTTTTATCTCTTTGTGTTTCTTTGTTTAATTGTTTCGAGTATGTTATTTACTTTCATTTTTGTGTTTTATTTTGTTGTGAGACTGTGGATTTGGATTTGTGTGACGGGAGGGCTGGCCATTGGGTGGAATTTAAGTATAAAAAGCCACCCAATTTTTACTTTATTTGTGGTATTATTGGTCATTCGATAAATTGTATTCGTTGACATATGAGGATAGTCTGGTACTTAAAAAACTTTTGTGGTGCATCTTAGAGTGGGTGGTGGGGTGAAGACTAGTACTACAGGAGGTAATAAGTGACTGGTAGATGGGTCTTCTAGCTCAGGTCGGGGACCTCATCTCAAACAGGATCAAGTCGGATTGGAAGGAATCCATGTCGGGCACAAATAATAGCGTGACAAAAGATGGGGAATTTGAGAGTACTGGCAGGAATTTATGTTGTTTTATTATTGGTGTCATATGAAATAAAACAACATAAATTCTTGTACAAAAAATAAATAAATAAATAAATAAATAAATAAATAAATAAATGTGATGGAGCTTGTGTAACTTTTTTTAATCTATGAATTTGATTAATTGTGTGCAAGGTAAAAAACGATCCTAAACTACACAAATCAATAGATTTTATTTTTATTTTTCTATATGAAACATTGCTTTACTATAAAAGATAATAAAAAAGAATAAATTTGGATAAATTTTTTGTAATAATCGGAATACAAATGAAAAATATATAACACTTTAAAACATATACATAGTGATCTTCAAGTGTAAAATTATTTTTTGATTTTATATATTCAATATTTGTGTCATATGAAAGATAATAAAAAGTTATGAATTTTGATATATTTTTTATAACAATTAGAGTTCAAATAAAAAAGTTGGAGCACTTCAAAGAAAGCAGGAAATTTTTAATTTGGGTGGGACCCATGAGTATATGTTGTTGACTTTGGCATTACATGTCGCATACTTGAGTTCCATCACTATTTTAGGAAGTACTCCCTCGGGTCCCGTTGGAATGTTCTCAATTTGGCCTACACACATATTAAGGAAATAAATTTACCAAAGGGTAAATTTTACTGTTTTGACACTGTTTCGACACTATTTGGCACTGTTTCGACACCGTTTTGCACTGTTTGACCATGTTTTGATTTAGGATAACTTTCCATTTAGGGAAATAGAAACTTTCCAACGGGACATCCAAAAAAATAAAGCGGGAACATTCCAACGGGACAGAGGGAGTATTTTTAAGTGGCGGCTTTCCTTAACATGGTTAATCCAACAGTATTTTGGGAATTATTTTTAATCTATCAGTATTTTGAGAATTATTTATTTAATTAGCATTAATCCAGGAAAAAACTCTATTTAGGTGTTAAATTTATAATTGTTTCACTACAATATTAGTAAATAAATTTTGTACTTATGTCAATAAAGAAAAGCCCGATTTTTGTTATCACACAGGGTTCTCGTTTTCCTAAGACCGGCCCCGGTGCTTACATCATGCAGTGCCTTTATGTGGTGTATAAAACAAACTTTCTATGCATTTAACAATTATTCACATTTACCATATAAAATAAATATTATTCACATTGAATAATATTTGAATTGAAATTGAATTTTATTAAAATGATTTCCATGCTAATCTATACAATTTGCGCATATATAGAATGTTTGTGGCACATTATGAAAATGTAAACAACCCCTTATTTTATCTAGGATTATTAGCTAAATATATCCCCAATTATCATCGTACTTAAAAAGTTATCTCATACTTTCACTTTTATTAAAAAAGACTTAAACTTTAACTTTTCTCACAATTACACTATCACTTTTATTGAAGAAAACAATAAAAACATTTCATATTTTTCATTTCTTTCTAGTTTTATACTCCCTACGTCCCGCAATTAAGTTACCATTTTCCTTTTTGGGCAGTCCCTAAATTAAGTTCACACTTCCTTACTTTCCTTATTTGGCGAATTATCTACATCAAAACAGTGTCAAACAGTGCAAAACAGTGTCAAACAGTGTTTGAACAGTGAAAAACAGTGCATTCCACAGTAAAGTCAAATTTATTTTCTTAATGTGTGTGAAATCAAACCGGGAACTTAATTGGAGGACGGAGGGAGTATTTACAAACTTGTATTCCTTATATCTTATTGGTATTGATAAAAATGCTTAATTTTGAAAAAATCAAAACAAAAAAGCATAATTGTTTTTTTACAAGAAAAAAAAGGCATAATTGTTAAAAAAGATGAAGTTTGAGTCTTTTTTGATAAAAGTCTAAAAATATACGGAGTAATAGATATGTGATTTTGACGATAGTTTGAGATAAAATAAGCTAATAATCCTTTTATCTATTAGCATATTCTCACTCATTGCCTATGTGAAAGGCGTGAAAGCATGTAGAAAACATGTACACCATAATGTGTACGAATATTTTTCAAAATAAAACTTGAAATACGGAGTAAAAAACAAGCTGCTGAACTTCCATGAACATCAGATAGTAATATAAAGATCTCTTTACCAGCATCCCTAGTGAGCTAGAACACAACCATTGATCTGCGATTGTAAACAGCGAAATCTGTTTCGTTTACGTAGAGCATTAATGCGACTATTACGCAGGCAAGACTTTCAAAAAGGGTCCAACAACCTCCATAAAATCTGCAAGTAATGACTACATAAACAAACATCAATCAAACTGTAACTGAGTTAAAGCCAAACCACTCAAGTACTCAACACACTATACATACATATACAAAAAAATTGCAGGTTTCTACGACGAAATACAAGAACGCGACACTTCTTCACCTCCAGAATTCGACCCGCTCTGTCATTGAATTGCTTGTTCTTTTGCATCTTTTTTCAGTCCCCAGACCACTGGAGGAATTCGACAGGTCGGATTCTTTAAATATCCATCCAACTAGTGGTGTGTAGATGAGATTCACAGGAGCTGCTGCTATCTTCAGATTCATCGCTGGAATCTGAATAACTGATATATTCTTCGTCGGTCAGGTCACCACCTGTTTCTTCTTCCAGGATTGCCTGGAGAGGATGATTCTGGGGACCATTTTCACCCGAGGGCTCTATGCCGGAAGTCGGGGCTGTTTCTATGAGAGAATCTTTTCTTTCTTGTAGTTTCTTCTCAATAAGTTTTCGCAAGAAGTTCATCACCTGGACTGCGTACATTAGTGCTGTCAATGGATCTCCCATCTGTACAAAACATCCACAATGGCTGTTATTACAACCTAATATTGAATAAGCCATTTCTACATTACTGAAATGGCTAGCACTGTAATCAATTAAAGTCGCTGGAAAAAATTATACACAAAAAGTTTTCGATTTTGGTCATTCATTTTTTTATCCATAAAAGGGCAGCTTGGTGTATGAAAGAATCCCCGCAAGGCAAGGGTCGGGAGAAAGGTTCCACTACAAAAGTGTATAAGAGGCAAGCTTTTCGGTGTCAAACTTTTTACAAGAGGCCACTCCCAAAACATGAACATGTGATATCTTGCTTAGACAGCAACACCTTAACCAGTGCATCAAGAGTCCCCCTTCAAATTTTATCTATAATTTCCATTTTTTCCATATTCGGCGCATCATTGATCTTTTGCCACTTTTGGTCATCTCCATCCACTTATCTTGTGAAAATAAATCGGCAATCCACTTATCTTGTGAAAATAGATCCACTTATCTTGTTTAAGGAGAGACATAGTTGTACGGCCAAAATGGATAAAGTAAAGCAAGGACTAAAACTGGGATATATTCAATTTACTAACACACAGAGACATATATATCAATTACAAATATTTCTTACACTGTTTCTCATATATACAACCTCAAGCCTGTTTTGGATATCCAGTTAACTGGGCATTTTTCAAACCACTTTCCTTTCCCGGTTTTAATTTTCTCTATCATTTTGAGTATGATATTTTGCTAATGTGTTTCATTATACTTTTCATATAGTATCTATCTAACTTCATCTATTTGGCTTGGGAATATGATGGAATAAAGCAAAATGACTCCATAAACTGCTTCTTTATTATGAAGCAGCGGTTAGTCTATGCAATTTTTGACGCGATTTTCACTATGAGTCATTCGTAAAGGCTTTAGTACAAACGTAAGACTATGTACATCCGACCCCCCCTTACCCCACCGAAGGTGGGAGCTTTTGCAGCACTGGGGTAATGACGATGATGATCAACTATATACTTCATTATCAACATTGGCCCATTGACAAACTAAACATCCATGCAGAAAAGCATAATCAAAATGCTTTACATGGTTACCCATCCTTTCACACCCTTCTAATGATATGTTTGGATTGTAAGGAATATTAGAGAAAGGAAAAAAAATGCTAAGAATATTTATCTTCTAATGTTTGGATTCACCTATGGAAATACTACGAAAAATGAAAGTATGATTAATATTTATTGAAAATTTTACATATGATTTAATTGTGTTTTATTCATGTGACCGAAATACATCGATAAACTAAAAATAACGTGATCAAATATGTAAAATAACTTGAGGTTGAACCAATATTTCCTCAACATCTTCTTTCATTTCAAATATCTCTTATATTTTCCTCCTTATTTTCTTACTATAGCATTTGCCACATTCCAAACTGTGACTAAAGGAATAGCCAATATGAAATTCCAAAAACCATCCACACCATAGAGGGAGAGTACATATTACCCAAAAGTTTAATGGTAAATACTTCAACAACCCTGTTTTGTTTTCCTCGTTTGACTTTAAACGGAGTTTAACTTAGCAAAATTATGTGGTTGTCATTTATTCAGAAAGGAAAGAATCAATAATAAATGGACAAACTTTTTAATAAAACATTTGAGAAGATTATTTACAGAGAGGCTAAAAAGGAAAGTGGAAAGATAAAAAAAGTAACAGAGGAAGTATGAAATCCATTTTTAGGTATGACACTTATTTACGGACAGCCTAAAAGAGGAAAGTGGAAAGATAAAAAAGCAAAAGAGACTGGGGTCAGCAGGACGTATGGAATAGTAAACACTTAAAAGCTTTTGTCTTTCTTTCCTACACAAGCAGGAAATCTTTTATTTTACTCCAGGGGGCTGAGGGAGGGGGCTGGGGGGTCTGGAGTAATCAGGACTGAAACTCACTCCATTGAGTTTCAAACCCTTATGTGCCTAGCGGGTTTCGAACTCGAGACCTCCCACTAGGCACAGTAACCTCACAACCTGGACTGGAATGCTTTTGTCTTTCTTTCCTACACAAGCAAGAAATCTATTTTTAGGTATGACACTTAATTTTCTTAGTGATAAAAACGAATACTTTTGAACAATTAATTGATTAATTATACTAGAACTTGCCTGAGTCATGTTAGGAGCAAAGACCATTGCTATATTGCGTGCATTCATCTTATTACGGCTTTCTTCCTGGACAACATCAGCCATCAAGTTGATGGCCCAGTCCAGCAGAGAAGCTTCTGTGGACGGTAGAAGTCTCACCAATGCAGTACACTCCTCTTCCGTCTGGCATTGGATTACTTGCTCCTGAGGTAGAGAATCTAACACTCCATTTGGAAGTTCACGGAACCAAGCCTGGACAACATTCAGTTGAAGTTAAGTATTTTTGTAGTAAGACTAAATAATCAAATACAAACTCGGATTGTATCACACCTTAATAAGGCCTGCCAAACAGTGTACACAAATGCCATCAGGAACTACTCCCCTGTTTAATTGCTCTCTTGCGTATTCCTCCTGCCTCTCCTCTGGATTTATTCTGAAAATCCCTTCTGCCTGTTCACATAATAACAATCATTTCACCATGAATACAGTTAAAATGCAAAATATATATATATATATATAAAGGTACCTGGAGTCCTCCTTTAGCATATAGATGCCTTTGCATCAGTAGAAGGATAGTCGGAACACTGTTCCCTCTGGAATCAAATGATAATTGCATTGATTCTGTTGACACTCCAAAAACAGTGGCACTGCACAAGGAATGAAGTCAAAAGTCAATTGTGCTCCGAAATATCTGTGATTTCAAAAGAAAATTAACAAAAAGTATACCATGACGAATTATCACTATATAAATACTGTACTTATTAAGGATCATAGGCAATAATAAAAAATAAAGCATTTTCCCATTAACAAGAATATTATATCCATTGTAAGAGGATGGCAAAATAAATCAGAGCTTAAAAAGGCATCACAATTGCTGCAGCTTATATGTGAAAAGATGATGCATCAATCTTTTTCTGCGCATAATAGAAAGTGAGAGTGAAGAAGATAGGGAGATAGGGAGATAAGAGGAATCAAAGTATTGGGTATTCGGGTGCGCTGATAAAGGGTGGACACTTTGGGAAGGAAATATATTTTCTAAGAGAAGATTGTTTAATTACATTTTTCTTGCATTATTTTTCTTCAATTTCCTTTCCCACCCAAGTCGGAGAAATTTTCCACCTCAACATCTTTCTTACCTTCGAAAAGGCTGTGATCTCATTTCAACTTTCTTAAGTGCTAATATTCAATCTTTAACCAGCAAACGTGTTTGTTCTGAGTTTCCCAATCAGGTTTCTGACAATAAAACTCAGATGCAACGATGGACACCTATTTAAAGAATTAGAAGAAATGCAAAATTGATTTTAAGAGATTCTTTTGTGAATGCTACAATACAAAAATTAGTGAATTTGTACGCAAAAGTTCTACACACCCTAGACACTATGAACTGAATCAAATAAAGCCACTTCTACACATAATTACAAACGGTTAAGTGGAAAAATTGAATAAAATTAGCTCCAAGTCATGAGATAAGTGTATCAAGAGGGGACAGAATGACATAAAATTTCATATTTAGCCTCATTAACCAATTCTCTTTAGAGCCATTAGTTAGTCATCCAAATCTTGATTTTGAATTCAACCTTCAATTCACCTTAGCTATTAATATGTTATTCTCAACATTAACTGATGTTCTACAATTCAACCTCAGAATACAACAAAAGTGACAAGCTATATATGTTATAATTTGCTTCTTCAAAATTTAACTGCACTTAGACCCTTAAGATCATAAGAAAATATGGCCCTTGTTCTTCATTCTACCAACTGCAAATCAGCCCTAGTTCAGATCACAATCTTTTTTTATCATAAAAAACAAGAACCTGAAACTTTTATCCCATGAGTATGTAGAAACTACAAATTAATTAATGAAGAATATGAAAATAAGATATAATTTCCTGTCAGTGCCAAAGACCAACAGGACTGCAATGCTGACCCAAATTCGAGAACAACCCCAGGAAGACATTGAATCACACACGCCACAAAAGAAAAAAGGAACTCACAACAATGCAGAAAGAAGACAATTCACCTAGCACTAGGGGAGCGCCTGGGAACCTCTGGCTCAAACTCAACAGGCAAACCAAGGAATCCATTGAATCTATCAAAGGTAACATGGGCAATATGCCGCACATTAGTAGGCCATCCAATCTCCATACCAGCAGCAGAACAGCAATGCTCCGCTCTCTCCGGCTTGCAAGCCAACCAGAAACTCTTTCTGAACAAAGCTACTAAAAGGGCCAATAAAGATAGCTGATCTTTCTCCTTAATTCCCCCCTTGGCTTCTTCTTCATCTACAAAATCTCTGGCCTGGTACAATGAAGGAGAAGAAGAGGGCGAAGCAGATGAAGAGTGGATGACCTCCGTCATGGTTCCTTGAGTACTGGGTACTCGATGTTTTTCAGTTTTTTCAAAGGATTGAATTTAGGAATGTTTGAAAAAGATGATGAAGCCTTGATGTGATAATGGCAATGGAGAAAATCTTGGGGAGGAATGGGTGAAGAGGACTTAAAATTTGGCGAATTGCAATCATAAATGTGCCCCAATAAACCGGATAAGGGATGTGGCCATGTCGGAATTCAGAATTATGAAGTCGCCGTAACAAATGTGGGACTCTTCCCAGGTGTAGAGAGGCTACTGTAAGTGAGCTTCTTATTAGGGGTAGATTGGGGTTACCGGATGTATTATCTTGTTTATGAATATATAATATTTAAAAGAAATGAGTATTAGTTTTAAATCGCTATTTTGATAGCACAGTTGAATATTAGAAATGTACAATTGAATATTATAATCTACATGTGATATATATGCTATAATTCAACTTATCCATTTAACTATATTATCGATGTATTATCATCAAAAATATTTATTATGTTAATTTTATAATTTAATATCAATACTCAATATATTTGAACTATATATTCATTAAGTATAAACTAGAATACATGATTGTACCGTGTGTGTGGTATAGCCGGATGTAGCATATAATTTACAGGGTTATGGGTACACCAAAGATATGGTGTTAAGCTCAATTTGTTATAGAATAATTACTCTAGTGTCATAATTATTCTAGTGACATGGTTTACCGGGATGTTCGATTTTTATATCAATCTTAATTTCTTGAATTTGAGAGGGACTATAGGAGCATAGAGTGTGAATTTTTCTCGTCATCTTCGATCGTCGTCGAGCAGACGACGACGAGTTGTTGTTCGTAAATTTCAATCTTCTTCTTCTTTACACTCCTCCTCCTCTCTTCCTCTGTTTTTTTCATTATTATTCTCCTTTTTTTAATAAATTTGTTTATATTTCGTTCATATTATTTTTTAAATCTTTTTATTTCCATCAATTTTTTAAGGGTTGCAGATTATTTTTGTTTTCAATTGTAATCATAATTGGAGATTGTTTTGTGACTGATTTGATTGTTTTTTATTAATTTCCTATTTGTTTTAAATTTCATTTTGATTTTTATCTTATAGCATCATGTTATTCAATATGAAAATGTTATATTGCAAACCAATGCCTTTTTTCACTAATTTTGAATCTGAGAAATGCATAAGTAGTGCATTTATTTTTCCAGTAAATAACACTGGTCCAACTTTGAAATAGAAATAATGTCATTTTACTAATAAGGTAGTATTCCTCTATTGTAGTGCCATTTTATGGCACTAATTTTGCATCTAAAAGTTTTATATCTATCTACTCCTTTTAATTTTACAGCAAATAGCACTTATCTCCAGTTTGATTTAGAAATAATGTCATTTTATAAAGAAGGTAGTATTGCTCTAATATAATGTCATGTTTTTGAAAGTCTTTTTTACAACAATGCCGTTTTTATGGCACTGGTTTCATCCGAATGGCAATATTACTTTTAAAGATGGCAATATCACCCCAAAAAATGACATTATCACTCGTATTGAACATGGCAATGCAACATCAATGTTAATAAAAATGTATGGCAATATGTAACATCAAACAAATTGAACTATATACTTTCATCTTCTTTCAGTACTTTTACTTATGGGAAGAACCCATTTCTCAACAAATTGAACAATGGAGCTTCGAAGTGAAACGAAAGGAATCTGTAAATAGAAGTCGCACATCCTTGGACGGCAGCAAATAGCAGGGAAAGCGCTCACCACGATGTTTGAATATATCTTGTAGATCAGAAGATTATGGAGAGGGTGTAGGTTGAAATTGTGGACGGTCAAGTATTAAGGAAGATGATGCGACACTCGTTGATGACTCACCGGAGGTCGATAGCGGCAACAAATGAGGGGGTTGGCAGCAGCAAATGAGGGGGTCAGCGGCGGCAAATTAGGTAGCGGTGTGGGGATGGCGTCGTGCGGTGATCGTGTAGGATATCTGGTGCACCATGAGTTTACCTGCTGAATTTTTTTTATTTTTATTTTTTATAATTTTAATTGTTAATAAAGAAATTAGTTTCCATTAAGAGCATTTTAAACATCGTAATTTTAAATTTGCTTCTATTAAAAACATGTTGCTTCCTAGTTAGAGATAAGAGAATTATCTCCTCACTTTATAGGGTTTTTCCTTGAAATATCATTAATAAAAACATCATAAACAAAAATGTTGCTTAGTAAAATAATTATTAGTGACTATAATTGTGTTTAATATAATTGTGTTCAGAGTTACATAGCAATAACTTACATTTAAATACTACTACCTCCGTCCCGGTGGACTTTGCCAAGTGCAAAGTAGGTGAGAAATAAAAATAGAAAAAACTGTGTGGTTGAGATTTGTGCAGAGTAAAGAGAAATGTGAAAAATCACAAATTAGTTACTTTACTATGATAGTAACAAAAAAAATTTGGTCAACATAAAGGGAAAATTGACAAAGTTCAATGGGATAGATGAGTATGATGCCAATTTTGAACAAAGTTGAGTCACTAATAATCACTAAGTAATATTTTTGTTCTTCGCATGTTAAAGAGTAATGTTTTTGAAATTGTTTCTAGCTTTATTACTAACTTCATGTAGAAAAGAATAATTATTTATATGTTGGTGTATTATTTTCTAGTGGTGTGTTGCAGTGTTGATTGGAAATTTGGAATGGTATGCAAGTATATCTATATGTACCATGGCCGAGAGAGATTGTAGAAATAAATAAATATCTATATGTACCATGGCCGAGAGAGATTGTAGAAATAAATAAATACTGTATGTTATTATGATGAAAATTAAAGCCTACAATTTGTTTCTTGCATTAGTAGAATTAGATCAGAGTAGGTAAAAAGCGATAAAATTTTAAAAAAACAGTGTCTGAGCCCGGGTTCGAACCGGGGACCTCTAGTGTGTGAGACTAGCGTGATAACCGACTACACCACCCAGACAACTGTTGAAACTTTATCCTAGTGTAGTATTTGTTGCGTGCCAAGTGCCAAGAGAAGAGATTTCTTAATAGATGTGTTTTTTTTTTGAATATATAGCTGTAGGAATTTAGATAATAAGTTTTTAAGTACTCTAACATTTACGTATTTAAATTTATACTACGTATATAAATATGGTTGTGTAACCAAAAATAGAATCTTCTACCTTTGGTCTTATGCATATTAACATCCCGTTTGCTAGCTTATTTTTCGGTTTATCAACTAGCTTTTCACTAAACGCGTTGAATTGCGTAATAATAAGAAAAAGTAAGGTTGAAATTACTTTTCTGACTGTTTTGGTTGAAGTTACTGTAGAAGACCATTCTAGCTATGTTTACATATATATTTTTTCTTTATTTTATTAATAAAATATATTTTTAATATAATTTTTTAATAAATCAATAGAATCAGCCAATTTAGCCACTTCATCTAGAATTTCATAAATTTCAACAGAATCGGTCAATTCAGTCGATTTTGGTATTTACCAAATGGGCTCTAAATTAATTCATAAATAAAGTTTTTTTTTGTAAAAGAGTTTTTTAATAAAAAAATGTCATTAAGATCCTTTTTTGTTTATATGTTGCTCTCGTTTAGATAAAGTAATGGGATGTTGGGATATGCAAAACAAAAATTATACTATTCACATGTTTTACTATTTAATTGCAAAGTGAAAATATTTACACTATTCACATGTTTTATTTTGATTACATTTTACGGGGTATTTATTAATCTATTCAAATTTTCATAATCTGATTTTTAAACGTTTTCGCTAATAGAGAATTGATTAAATATAATGATGGTTAAAATTATGAATTGAAAAGGGTGAAAATGAGAATGTTGCAACTAAAAAAGAACGAAGTAAGTATGATTAAACAATATGTTAACGTGATTCTTAGAGCATCTCTAATGCAAGGGTGTGGTCTGTTACACACCCTTACACATGGGTCCTTTTTTTATCTCACAATTTTTATGTGTGTGACCCATGTATTTACTACTCCCTTCGTTCCATTTAAATCTTTACACTTTCCTTTTTGGGACGTCCCATTTAAATCTTTAAGTTTCCTTTTTTGGAAACTCCTTTTACATGATTTGTCATAATTACCCTTCACAACCCACCCACATTTTACATTTAATTAGATACCATTAATTACCCACCCATTACCCAACCCCCACTCTCGTATACTCTATACTAATCTCCAAACCCCCATACGGACAACGGAGTCTCCAACAACAATCTTCTCTCCATCAGTTCATCTTCTCTCAAAAATCTATTCAGTTGGTCTCTTCAATTCCTCCTAATTATCGACTATTGGAGTTCGTTCACATGACCAAGAAAAGTGTAAGTGTTTAATCGATTAACCTATGTGTGTTGATCTATGGATTCATATGATTAGAATTTTAATGTTTTCTTTTTGTTAAACGACTATGGCAGGTCCCAATTAAGGCATGGATCTTGAAGTTCTTGAACAGACCATTGTTGGAGACTCCTTTGAACATTGTGTCCCTTCTCTTCCTGTGCAAGAGGCCGTTGATAAGTTTTGTCGGATTTGCTTCACAACTAAGGTACCCCAAAGTCTTTTTCAATCTACACCACTGTTCTAAAAATCGGCCTAGTCGGACCGATTAATCGTCTAGTCGGCCTAGTCGGTCCTAACGGTAGAGGCCTAGTCGGCCTAGTCGGTCCTAACGGTAGAGGCCTAGTCGGCCTAGTCGGTCAAAAAATCGGCCTAGTCGGCCAAAAAATCGGCCTAGTCAGCCGCTTAGGCGCTAGACGCCCCTCAACCGCCCGACTAGCGCCTAGCGAGTTTTAGAACAATGATCTACACTGTTAACTTTAGAAAGAAAACTTTTTGAAATCTTCTCCTGAATTCTCTGATTTTCTCAATCTTTAGGTACAACTAAGAAACATCCAAACGATGATGACCCTTCTTATGCACCATATGTCTTTTCTACAACTGTACTAGAGTTGCTGAGAAGTTTTGTTCCATTTACTGGAATACTCCTCTGCCTAAATGAGGGAAGCTATGAAACATCCTTTAATCAATTTGCTTTATGTTTTGGGTGATACCCTCTACGAACGCCTATGTAACCTTGATTAAACACTTTAGATTTGATCTATTTTGAGTTTCATTATGTTTGCTTTGAGACATAATATGTTGTGATATTTGTTTATGATTTGTGTTAGTAGTTGGTTACGCTGTCAAGGATGAAAATAAATGTCATTTTTTAAAAC